CCCAGGGCTGGGGATGGAACTCAAAACCTAGGTATGAGCCTTGACTGAAAATCAAACCCAAGACATAGGACAACACTCCAACCAACTTAGTCACACCAGCAAGGGCATGTTCAGCTTTAGCTTACCCAGGCATACTTCCCTATCTCAGCAGCCTCCTTCTCAAACTTTTTGGTGGATCTTTTGTCAATCCCACCACATTTGTAGGTCAGATGGCCAGTAGTGGTAGACTTGCCGGAATCTATGTGTCCAAGACGATGATGTTGATATGGGTCTTTTCCTTTCCCATTTTGGGTTTGATTTAGTGGTGGTTTTTACAACACTTGTGTTCTGGCAACAAAGCCGTTGCGAAAAACAAGAATTAGAGAATCTAAAAGATAAGACTGCTGGGTCCCATTCCCAACTGAAAGATCTAGGACAAGCCCTAGTCGAGTAGCTCAGTTGGTTAGAGTGTTGTCCCCATGTACCAAAGTTGTGAGTTTGATCTCCCGTCAGGGCACATATAAGAATCAATCAATGAAGGAATAAATATTAATAAGTGGAACAATGGATCATTCTCTCTCTCTCTCTCTCTCTCTCTCTCTCTCTCTCTCTCCCCCTCTCTCTCTCTCTCTCTCTCTCTCTCTCTCTCTCTCTCTCTCATTTTGTCCAATAGGTTGAGACTATTACAGGAAGTCAGGGTGCAAACAAGGAGAGAAGTTAGAAGGCATTGAACAGTCCAAGCAGTATGTGGCACTTTAGTATAATAGTCTTCTGGATGGTTAGTAAGGGGTTAAGTTCAGCTTGTGTTGTAACTTGCCAATATGAGCTTCCCCTTTTGCCAGAGGACGCAGGTAATTTCAAACCCCAGCTCTTCTGTGATTCGGGCAGTAACAAAATAAATACATTTTTTTAAAATATAGATGATAGATAGATAGATAGATAATAGATAACTTGCCTGGCTGGTGTGGCTTAGTGGTTGAGCATCACCTATGAACCAGGAGGTCATGATTTGATTCCTAGTCAGGGCACATACCAGGGTTACAAGCTCGATCCCCAGTAGGGGGCTTGGAGGAGCCGACTGATCAATGATTATTTCTCATTGATGTTTCTCTCTCTCCTTTCTCCCTTCCTCTCTGAAATCTGTAAAAATATTTTAAAATAATTAATAAAAGAAATAACTATTTCCTGCTACTCTGCTGGTTCTCTGAGTCGTAGTTCATGTGATGATTAAAAATAATAATAATAAAAATAAATAAATAAAATAAAATAAAATTCTGCTCAAACAGTTCAAAAAAGAAACATGTGTAGTAAAAAAAAAAATTTTTTTAAAGAAGCAACTGGAGCCCAGCTGGCATGGTTCAGTGGTTGAAGGTTGGCCTATAAATCAAGAGGTCAGGGTTTGATTCCCAGTCAGGGTACATGACTGGGTTACAGTATGAGTCCCCAGTGTGGGGCATGCAGGAGGTAGCCAATCAATGACTCTCTCTTATCATTGATGTTTTTATCTCTCTCCCCCTCTCCATTCCTCTATGAAATCAATAAAAATATTTATTTATTTATTTATTTATTTATATTATTTTTTATAAACAAAAGCCAAGTTTATTTGTTAATTTCTTGCATTTGAAGTACTCCTCGATGATATCCTTTGCCTGAGACTCTTTGCCATAGTCCTTCACCACCACAAACTGCAGCCAACCACTTTACAGGGTTTTCCCTCCCTGTCGATTTTACAGAGGCCTACCCATTCCCCTAGTTTCTTGTTGTCAACCTTACTGAGGTGGATTTGGTGTTCAGCACAAAGAGCCTCCACCAACTTGACGTACATGGGCTCATCACAGTTGGATGCAAGTATATAAAGGTGGGCTTGGCGCTTGTCTAAGGCGTTGGCGGCTTCGTGAATTCCCCACGCGAGGCCGTCGTGGATGAGGGCGGTCTTCAGCACCTCTTGCAAAGCAGCGTTAACGTCCATTACAAGGCCTTCCTCGGCCACGCGGTGGGTTATGGGTAGAGCCGAATCTTGAACGCACCCAAGACTCCGCCTCCGCGCCACTCCGTGGCAGCAGAGAAAGAGCTAAAAATATTTTTTTTTAAAAAGAAGCAACTGGCTGAAACCGGTTTGGTTCAGTGGATAGAGCATCGGCCTGCGGACTGAAGGGTCCCAGGTTCAATTCCGGTCTAGGGCATGTACATTGGTTGTGGGAACATCCCTGGTAGGGGGTGTGCAAGAGGCAGCTGGTTGATATTTCTCGCTCATCAACGTTTCTAGCTCTCTATTCCCTCTCTCCTCCTCTATGTAAAAAAATCAATAAAATATATTTTAAAAAAAAGAAGAAGAAGAAGAAGCAACTGGATTCTAGATATATTTTGATGCCTAGTAAACAAAGATGGTTTTATGATTTTGGCCTGAGCAACTAAACAGACAGAATTTGTCATACACTGATGGAGAAGGCTATAGGAAGAACTTGTGTTCTTGGTGGTCATTGTGCGTCATAGTTACCAGTGGGACAGTCGGATTGTAGCACAGTTGCTTAGACTTTTATATATATAGATAGGATCAGAGTAATCCTAGTTCCCTGAAACTATTTCTCACATGTTCAGGGCTAACACTAAAGTGACAAAGGAATGACATGTTTTCATCAAAGTTTGCTTCTTCCTTTTCAATATGGGGAGGAATATTGGAAGTTTGGTTTGGAAATATTAATTTTGTGCTGCTTATTAGAAATTCAAGTGAAGATATTAAGTAAGGAGTTGGATGTATGAGACTTGAATAGGGGAATAGGTCTAGGATAAAGATATACATTTGAAAGTCCAAAGTATATGCTGTAGATGGCATTTAAAGTTCTATGGCAGAATGAGATCATCAATGTAGTGTGTGTAAATAGAAAAAAGGTTTGAGCCGAAACCGGTTTGGCTCAGTGGATAGAGCGTCGGTCTGCAGACTGAAGGGTCCCAGGTTCGATTCCGGTCGGGGGCATGTACATTGGTTGTAGGCACACCCCCAGTAGGGGGTGTGCAGGAGGCAGCTGGTCGATGTTTCTCTCTCATCGACGTTTCTAGCTCTCTATCCCTCTCCCTTCTTCTCTGTGGAAAATCAATAAAATATATTTAAAAGAAAAAAGGTTTGAGAACTAAACTTTTCAGTATATCGGGGATAAGGAGGAATCAGAAAGGAAACTCAGAGAGAACCACCAGGTTAGTAGGGGGAACATCAGGACTGCAGAATAACTACAAAAGGAGATTAAATTAAAGACTTACAGGTATTTTTTTACTCCTGGTCACTTCTTTACTTCTTGGGCCTCTCGACTATAATTTCAAAAAATAAGCAATAAATAAATAAATATCTCCTGGCCAATAGATGTTTGCTAAATCACAAAATATATATCCACATATGTGTGTACATATATCAGCCAGGAACTGTTAGTTACTTATTGAATGAGCTTAGTAGGTGGAGTGAAATAATGTAAAGAAGATAGACGTAGGATAAAGGGGCTCAATTGTACCAGTATGATGATGGATAGAAAATAGATTTTTGATAGTGAGCATGACATAAAACACATAGATGTTCAATTATAATGTTGAAGACCTGAACCTTGTGTACTGTTTTAAACCAATGTTACTTCAATAAAAAATAAATTTTTAAAGAATTTTAAAAATAGATTATGACTCGCTGAACACTCATATGATGGTTACCATTGTTAGCAAAAACGCATTTTACATTAATGTAAGTATACTGTATTTTGCATGGAATGCTATTGCACCCTTAACGGGTGACAGTGGCATAAATGTAACATTTATGTGCACTGAGAAACAAAAAAAAAATGTGTGTGACTCGTGTTCTTACGGTATTTGTTTCGTTGTGGCGGTCTGGAATGGTACCCCGCATTCTTTCCGATGTGTGCCCATATAAAACCTAAAATAAGGGTTTAATTGAGTCCCTTACACTCGCAGCCCTGGACTCTAGCACTTTGCAACACCCCCCTCCCCCCACCCATCCTGTCTACCCAAACAAACCCAAGGTCCCCGGCAGCTTCTGAAGCATTCTCTGCTTTATTCAAATTGCTTTCCTGGGCCAAGAATGTTGTAAGTCTGCCTTCTAGCTACCACCCCCTCCCTTTGTGGTTTTCATCCCGGAGGCTCTTGCACTGGATACAATGGAACCCGGGTCCGGGGGGTGGGGTAGGGTGGAGTAGGGTGGGGTGAATTTGTCCCCGGCTTTCTGGCAGAGACCCCCATCAACCAAGAACAAAGCTGCTGGTACCCGCAGTTTAGAGAGCTGCGGGAACATTAGGCCTGGTGGCCTTGATCGTGCTCATTTACCAAACTGCTAATGGAGAGCCAGGAAGTCAGGTGCTCCTCTTTATTTATTTTCCCCCTCCGTTTTATTGAGATGTAAACTGGCATATGACATTGAATTAGTTTAAAGTTTACAACATAATCATTTGATATATGTCCGTGTCACGAAATGATTACCATATTAAGTTAACATCTATTACCTCACATTCTCTTTTCTTAGAGAAACCCTACTTTTTTTTAAATGAGACACAGGCCATCTGCCTGAAGCACCATGTCTTTCTACACCCCCCACCCCACCCCCACCCCCTGTGTACTGGATTCCCCTATGCCTAACCTTCTTGCTCCAAAATAGTGGTCTGCAGAGACAAAGAAAGGTTACGAAGAATTTCCACCTCCTTGCTTGAATTCGGCAATATTTCTAGGCTCACAAATTGGCATCTTTGAATTGTGAGGGGGAAAAACAACAACAACAACAAAAAGCAAACAAACAAAAAACACCCAGCTTGCACACACTCAACACCAGCAGCTCTAGGTGGAGACCCATGTAGCAGAGTGCATGGGGCAATTAGTCAAGAGTTGTATTTTAGGAAAATAAATGCTTGCGATTCGCTAAGGGTTTATTGTAGGGGTGGGAGATTGAAAGGGGGAAAGAAATCTTAAATTTCTTGGATGTTGAGTTTGGAAATGGGGAGGAAAGTTGAAAGCTGTAGACTGTTATTATCGTTGTCATGAATGTACTAGTGCTGGAACCCAGCTCTACAGCCTGTCCCTTCGGAAGGCAAATGGAAAAGCACAGTGTGGGGAAGGAGTATGGGTTGGAGGACATGACCAGATTGCCAGGCCAGAGGAGAAAAAGCTGATTTAGAAAGAGCCATTGGAGAGGAAAGCCAGAAGATGATGACTGGGCAAAAGGAGTAGAGAGGAGAGCAACCATTGACTCTAAAAGGAACCTTTCAGAAACACTTCGGCAAGTCCACCATAGGACTATCCTTTGCCTACAGATTGTTCTTTATCTCCTTTCCATTGGGGTGGTCAATACATTTCGTTATTTTGCATTTAGTAATTCCCCAGGCAAAATTAAAAGGTGGAGCTCTCATTCTATCACCTTGCCTACTGGGTGAATATAAAAGGCGTGACCACAAAAGGTAATTTGATGTTGAAGGTCATGGGCGTAAGATCCTGCTGCAATTTCTATTAGCGGCCACCGTAATAGTGCATTTAGCATTTTATTTCCTTTAATTCTTACAACAGCACAAAGAAGGTACTTTCGTTCCTATTGATGGATAAGGAAACTGAGACTTTTTAAAGTCTCTGAACCAAGATTCTATCCAGGAACGCGTGTAAAGAAACAAAAAATCTTCCCTCGTCATAGTATGTGCACAGTTACTAACAGGGCACCAGAGTGTCTTAGCAGTTTGCAGCTTCTTTCCTCTGGCTTTTGGTGAGAACAGGACAGCACTCTAGTTGGGAAGACTAGGTCGGTCTTTCTGAAAGCTGAAAAACAAGAAGCAACTTCAGTGGAAGTTGCAGACGAGTACTATTTTTTGACATCCATTTAACACACAATGTGTGTTTTATTGTGGCCTCAGGGTGAGTCCAAGAGGAAGACGGAGCCGGTTGCAGCTTCTGCATATCTAGCCCAATTTCTAGGGGGTCTCGAGAGCAAGAAATTGATTGTCCTGGTGGGAGTTTCATTCACCTGAGGTGCATCTTTGATTTTAAAAGGTAGAAACGGGATGAACCCAGAAGCATAGGATTGTTGGGTTTATGGCCGTCGGTGGCCCCAGAGTCCTGGTTCCCCTCCCAGTCTGAGTTATTCCGCAGCTACCTTTTGCATTACAATGGCCGTGGTGAGCCTGGCAGACAGGATTAACTGAGAATTCGCTAGGGTGTGTGTGTGGGTGTGGGGCTGCCAGAGGGCGGGCCTACATTGGGTTGAGCCTCCTTTATAAATCCAGAGCCTCCAAAAGTTTTCATCTTTTTGCAAAATTGACTGGTTGGGTCCTGTCCCTGCAACACTGACCCATTTCCTCCTCCTTTTTTTTAATTTTAATTTTTATACTTTTATCTCTGGAGCTTTTCATATTTCTCTATGCTCTTCTAGCTAAATACTTAAGCCCGGCTCTTCCTTACAATCTACCTTTTTGGTGTTTTGTTTTGTTTTTCCTCTCTCCTTCCACTCAGCAACGTGAGTATGGATTCGGCATATCCCCGGAGCCTGCCCTGCTCCGAACCATCCGATTCTAGGGAGCCTGCACCAGTGCCTGAGACTTATGAGCCTGAAGAAAACTCTGCATCCGACTCCAGGGAGCCCTCACCAGTGCCTGAGAGTTATGAGCCTGAAGAAAACTCTGCATCCCACCCCAGGGAGCCCTCACCAGTGCCTGAGAGTTATGAGCCTGAAGAAAACTATGCATCCTTGCAAATATCATCTGCTGAAACATTCCACACGGAGACTGGTAAGGAAAAATGGAATCCTCAAAAGTCTTGAGTTCCTGAAGGGAGAGGGGAAGGAAGAAAGGGTGGCGGGTAAGGGTCATTCTTTTGCCTCTTGAGCAATCACAGCCCATTTATGTATAACTTATAGAGAGACAGGTGTCATTATCTACTAATCCTGGCAACTCCTCTTTTTCCGTGGTAACTTGGTGGTGCGCGCCCGTTCACCTGCGTGCCAGGTGTTGGCTTGTGGGATGCAACTGGGGACGTGGAGCTCAGATCAACTGTATACTGTACAGTTAAGCCTTCTTTATAAATCCGGAGCCTCTACTCCAGACTTTGTGAGCAGACACACAGCGAAAACAAATGTGTCAAGGTGGATAAGCTGATGTTTATGTCTTAACACACATTAAGAGTAAACACTACTAAGCGGTAACAGCACAGCTTGGGGTTTGGGGGGCAGGGTGTCTGCTGGCGAGCATCACCTCCCAGGCCCGTCTCCTCCTGGAATGCCAGGAATGGCGCGGCTCATTATACCAACGCCACCTGGTTGAAACATTTCCCCTTTCCACAGCTCTGTGAGCACAGGCGATGCTCCGATCTCCTCAGTCCCAGGGAAGTGTCCGTTCCTCTTTGTGGTGGATCATTTCAGGAGGTTTCGTTTAATCTGCTGACAGTCAAAGTGGCCAGAATTTGTAATTGATACCCAGTTTGGGTATCAATTAAAAACTTCAAAACCTGCCAGGACCGGTCTGGCTCAGTGGATAGAGTGTTGGCCTGCGGACTGAAGGGTCCTGGGTTCCGATTCCCGTCAAGGGCATGTGCCTGGGTTGCGGGCACATCCCCAGTGGGGAGTGTGTAGGAGGCAGCTGATGGATGATTCTCTCTCACTGATGTTTCTAACTTTCTATCCCTCTCTCTTCCTCTCTGTAAAAAATCAATAAAATATATATATATTTTTTAAAAAAAATTCAAAACCTGTACTCTAGCACACAGGCTTCTGAATAATGACTGCGAGCACTGGGGGATACTTAAAGCCAGTACCATTTTATTTTATTTTTTTAGAGATTAGTTTTTTAAAAATGAAAAAGTAAGCCAACTTTTACCCAAGAGTGCCACTTTTAACATAGTGCAAAACAATAGCTTAGCCTTGCCTTGCGTGTTCAGTGGTTAGAGCGTTCTGGTACCTGTAGGAGGCAACGGATCCATGTTTTTCTGTTGTTGTTTTTCTCCATGTCTCTCTCATCACTGAAGAATAAAAGTCTTTGAGTGAGGATTTAAAAAAATAAGAGCTTTAAAAACTGTAAGTGAGGGAGGAATAATTTTGGAAATGAGGTTTCAGAGCTAATAAAGAAGAGGGCAAATGAGGGGAAAAATCCAAGAAGACATCTGTAATACTTTCAACAATAAAGATACATTTTTAAAAAGGCCAAAGTCTGGGGATTGAAATGGAAGCCTATTGAAAGTCATGTCCTGGTAGTCCTAGTATTTAGACATGGTAAACTGTTGACTCTAGGATGGATTTTCAGAATTGAATCATCAGTTTATATTCTCATTTATTTTATTTTTTAGAATAAACCCCTGTACTACATGAGCTAAGATGGGAAGAAGGCTTTGTTTGCCTTTCTGAGTCTTGATTTTCCTCAGCGGCAGCTCCAGCTCCTGGCCCCCCAGCACGGAGCCTTCTGCGCGGCGCGCCTGCCTGCTCCTGGGGTGATGCGTGAGGAGCTGGCCTGCGGGAACCGCTCTCCGGAAGACTAAGATTCTGGCATTCTTTTTCCTTTCACCATGTTTCTTCTGCATTTCCTCTGATTGTGTCTTTTTAAAAATTCTCTTCCTCCTTAACGTGGCCCCCTAATTCCGGGTCCAGGGGCGGCGCCTAGGGGTACCCGTACCACTTGCCGTGTGAGGTGCTGTAGTGAGCACCGTGCATTTCTTCCCTAAGCTCTTGGTGTGTGGGTACCAGCTCCTTGGTGGGATGTGTTGTAGACGACATCAGTAATCCTTTGTTTTTCGCGTACAACACCCCGAGTCGCAGGAGAAGTTGCCCGTGTCCAGCCTCAAGGTGCGCACTTGCTGCTGCTGCTGCCTCCCCAGGTGGAGTGGTGTGTTTACTGCGGTGGGGTGGGGTGGGGAGGAGGCAATCTTAGTGCTGGCAGCAAGGCGTCTCAGCTCCTATTTTGACTTCCTATGGTGGAGCTTCCTCTTGCTTGCCCCCTGTCTTGGGGTGCTTGTGCACGTTGTCCTGAGAGATGTCCATGGCCCAGTGCTGGCTGGAAAGAGCTGATCATCAGTTTAAACAATTATGTAGATAATCATTAAAATTAGGAAAGGAAGGCCAAAGCCGGTTTGGCTCAGTGGATATAGAGCATCAGCCTGCGGACTGAAGTGTCCCCGGTTTGATTCCGTTCAAGGGCATGTACGTACCTTGGTTGCGGCCACATCCCCAGTGGGGGGCGGGGGGAGGTGCAGGAGGCAGCTGATCGATGTACTCTCTCATCAATATTTCTAACTATTCCTTTCCCTTCCTCTCTGCAAAAATCAATTAAAAATGTATTTAAAATTACAAAAGGAAGTTACCATGGGACATGTAGGTGGGAGTCAAGTAATCTGTTTTGACTTTTTTTTGAAGAGCCAGGGTGTTGTCAAAGAGGCTGGAGTCCCACTCTGTTCCCCGGCAATATTAGCCACGTCCTTCGTATTGGCCTTAGCCATGTCCACTGTGTGTATACGTGGTGACACTGGTAACACGTACTGGATTGTACAAAGGTTGGCAAGTTATTATTCAGGTTGCTTAGGAATTGTTATTAGCTCTGCGGTTGTGAGGACTTGGAAAATGCTTTGAAAATAATAAATTTGTCCTCAGCCAGTGTTGCTCGGTGGTTGAACATTGTTCTATGAACCTGGAGGTCATGATTCGATTCCCCGTCAGGGCACGTGTGCAGATTGTCGGCTTGATCCCAATATGGAATGTGCAGAAGGCAGCCGATCGATGATTCTCTCTTATCATTGCTGTTTCTATTTCTCCCTCTCCCTTCCTCTCTGAAATAAAAAAAATAAAAAAATAAAAATAAATTTGCATATTTAAGAAGCTTTAGAGGAAAGTGTCGTTTTTATTCCCAGCAGTCTCTCCTCTTCCTTCCTCCATGGACCTGCTTATTCAGAACAGCCCTGATTCTTCCACCAGTCCCAGCGCAACACTCCCCGCCTCTGCAGAGAACGGGGCCCGGAAGGAGGAGCAACCCCAGGCCAAGAAACAGAAGATCCGAACTGTCTTCTCACAGACCCAGCTCTGTGTGCTCAATGAGAGATTCCAAAGGCAGAAGTACCTCAGCCTCCAGCAGATGCAAGAACTTTCCAGCATCCTGAACCTCAGCTACAAACAGGTGAGGCTGTTTTGTTGTCTTTGCAATAAGAAATTTAAACACACACACACACACACACACACACACACACACACACACACTAATTTGCAGATAAGCATTGCTAACATCTTTCTATGCACTGTTTCTATGTAACCCCCTCCTCCCCAATAATTTAACATGAAAATGGGATTTTTTGGTAATAACCATCTTTCATTAAATAATCTACTGTGTAACTGTGTCTCAATTTATTTAATATTGTTCCCTGTTGCATAAATCAAAACATTGTGAGAATGTTTCCAATTTTGCCTTAATCAAAAGAGGCATAGACTCCCACCTTCCGGGTTAGGAGTCAACACTGGTTCTTATTAAAGTAAAAATTGCATCTTTTGTTTTTCATCTGTGTGCCTTAGGTTACTAATGAGATTTATCATTTTTCATACACTTCTATTTTTTCATACATTTATTGGTATTATATTCAGTGAAATTTTTTTTTTTTTTTTTTTTTTTTTTTACCATTGGTGCCATACTTTGAAAGTTGTCTATTCCATGATTTAATAACAGGTATATATATTCTTGTTCCTCTGTGATCTCATTTTCTAACTTAAGTTTATAAACAACATGGACATTTTAGTTTATTGTGTGCTGCAATATAATGGAGTGTTTTCTAAATAATTGCATGTTTCATAATTCTGAATTAAAATACCACTATTTTTTTTTTATTTTTTTTTTTTAAGGCTTCTGTGTGGGATGGTTGATCTTGAGCCTGCAGGGAGCAAGCTGGCTCCAGACTTCTCCAAGTCCACATTTCTTTGCCTCCAATTCTTACGTGTCCAAAGACAGGGAACCACAGACACGCCTTTGTAGGAGGGTTAAAATACCACTATTATGAACTATGTAATGTGCTCATATTGGGGGCACATTATATTACAAACAGATTACCATTAACTATAACCAATGGCATGGGTAAACCAAAGGGAGATGAATAGACCCTTAAAGGTGCATTGCACTTTCTGGTTTAGTAGTGTTGCACTCTGACTGGTTAGGTTTTGTTTTGTTTTTAAATATATTGTATTGATTTTTTACAGAGAGGAAAACAGAGGGATAGAGTTAGAAACATCAATGAGAGAGAATCATCGACCAGCTGCCTCCTGCACAACCCCCCACTGGGGATGTGCACGCAACCAAGGTACATGCACTTGACTAGAATTGAACCTGGGACCTTTCAGTCCATAGACCGACGCTCTATCCACTGAGCCAAACTGGTTTTGGCCTGGTTAGGTTTATAAATACAAAAAGCAACCAACTGATTTGAGGGGCATAGGATATTAGATTAGTTTATGATTTTTAAAAAGACACTAGAAATCCAAATTTTGTTTCTGAGCTTTAGGTGGTTGTAAATGTCAGGGGGGGAAATGTTAACAATATTCTTTGGTCCCTAGCCTTATCTGCATTATTATTATTTTATGCTTTTTTACAGATTAAGACGTGGTTCCAGAACCAGAGGATGAAATGTAAGAGGTGGCAGAAATACAACTGGCCAAAGTATAGCCACCGTATGTCCCAGGTAACAGGAAATGTTATTTATTCTGCTCTTTCCTTTCAATGGCTTTCTAGTTTTGTCTGTTGCTGAAACATAAAACTCCAGCCACAGACAATGCCGATGGCCCTGTACCCTTTCGGCTCACCCATCCTTCTCTTTCAGATGAACTCGGCAACTACAGAGTACCTGGGCCTCTCCTCCTGCCACCAGGGATGCTTGCTGAACACGAACGCTTCTGGGAACCTTTCCATATGGAGCAACCATTCCTGGACCAGCCCGTCTTGGAACTACCCTGCCTGGAATAGCCAGACCTGGTGTCCCCAATCCTGGAACAACCAGGCGTGGAACAACCAGGCCTGGAACAACCAGTTCTGTGGTTATGGAGAGGAATCCCTGCAGCCCCAGATCCAATTCCAGCAAAATCCTGTCAGTGATTTGGAGGCCTCCTTGGAAATGGCTGGGGAAGCCTATGATGCAATCCTGCAAGCCCCTATATATTATGGTGCCCAGCAGTCTGCGGATTTATTCTCAGATTTTTCTGTGAACATAGTGTGATGATGGGTGTATGACTCAATCTCGGTTTGGGCAGTGGCTGCATTACCTCTCTTAGGATTTTTCTAGGCATCTCTGCCTTGATATGCTGCTTCTCATTATGCCTACTGTGCCAATTGGAGGGTGGTGGGAGGGTTGGGTATGACTGGAGTCTTAAGTTAAAGAGGCTCCTAGAATCTTGCTGCTATTAGACAAATGATAAAAGATGCTTCTGGCTATAGATAATTAGATATAATACTAGATCTAGCATTTGGATGACGCTAGATCTAGAATCTTAACCTCAAAAATAGAAGGTAAAAGTACAAAGGTGTGTAATGAAGGATTCATGTTTCCTGGGGTTGGGAGGCTTGTTAAAAGCCTCAGTTCAGGTGAATGGTTAAGCTAGGATATGCTTCACTGATTTCCCTTTTGCTGTTTTACTACCTTTAATTTGTTTATTACTCAAGTATTTGTAAAAGATGTCTTTTGTACTTTGCTGACATGACAATAGTACCAGTTTGGCTGGTTGGTTTACAAGTTTACATTCAAATAAATAAAACGTCCATTTTACCATTAGTTGGCTCTACCCTGATTTCACCCAGTGGTCTAATAATTTGCTAAACGTGGGTATTTAATGGATTTTTTTATGGGGGGGAGGGGAGGTTTAACGGAAATCTTCTCTAGACCTTGGGGAGATTACCATCTTAGAAATGAGCAAAGGAAAGGCCATGAGGATATGATGCAGGGGCTGATTGATTAGACCTGAACAAACTTAGTCCTCCTTGTGTGTGAAACTACAATTTGTGGTCACTTTCAGTTATGAGAAGAGGGACCCATCTGGAACGTGATGAGCAGAGCTCCTGGGTCTGCAAAGGGCAGCAGAGGGGGGAGGCAAATGCTAGAATGTCAACTTGAAACGCATGAGTAGTTCTGTGATTGCTCTTCTGTGTAATTATACCCTGCCACAAATAAGTTTATATTTTTTAAAAATATATTTTTATTGATATCAGAAAAAAATAGAAAGAATCAATGATGAGAGACTCATTGATCTGCTGCCTCCTGCACACGCACACTAGGGATTGATCCTGAAACCTGGACATGTGCCTTGACAGGAAATTGAACCATGACCTCCTGGTTCATAGGTCGACACAACCACTGAGCCATGCCTGCCAGAAATAAGCTTATTTTTATTTTTTTTAAAAATATATATATTTTTAATTGTTTATTAAATTATTATCTTTGTACTTTTAAAATATATTGATTTTATACAGAGAGGAAGGGAGAGGGATAGAGAGCTAGAAAATCGATGAGAGAGAAACCTACCAGCTGCCTCTTGCACACCCCCTTTTGGGGATGTGCCTGCAACCAATGTACATGCCCTTGTCCGGAATCGAATCTGGGACCCTGGGGTCTGCAGACCGACGCTCTATTTACTGAGCCAAACTAGTTTAGGCTATAAGCTTATTTTTAAACATTTAAAAAATAAAGTGCTTTTGTCTATTTATTTTTGGTTAATCCTCACCTGAGAACATCCTTTCCATTGATTCCTAGAGAGAGCTGAAGGGAGAAAGAAACATCCATAGGTTGCCTGGTTCGAGGTAAGTGCCCTTGACTGCGACCTTCAGTCCATCTGCTGACACTAATCATTGAGCCAAATCAGATAAGGCAAAATACTTTTACCTGACTAAGGTTAAAGCACAATTTAACATGCCATTTTAATGTAAGGCTCTATAAGTGTATTGATAACACTGAAGAAAAAAGGATCAAAGACCAATAGATATGTAAATTCTAGGGCTAATTTGAAATAGATTATTTTTTCAGGTAAACTATGTTCTTGCCTTATAGGATCTAAGCAGGCCTCTAAAAAGTTTGCAGATAATCCCCCTTTTACTGTCCTTTTCCCATCCAGGCTTGCCCCAAGTTTATTGGTTAGGGGCACTTTCATTCACTACTCTGCCTTTTGCTCCTTGGAAACCTCCAGCTCTCTGAGGCATCAGAGATGCAGAGAATAGCCAGGGTAGTTTTCTTGATCATTTTCCTCGTGGTGTCCCCAATTGTCCAGTGTTCTCTAATCTCATCCAATCCAGTTGTCTAGACAATTGACAGAAGAAGGCAGGGATAATTAACTTCTGCCAAGACCTAAGGACAACACGCTATTCCTGTAAGCTGTCCGATTTTTTAGTTGTGTGCCAAGTGCTCTATTATGGACAAGGAGATAACTGAAATGGAAAGCATTCATTGGACAATGAAAATGCCATTCTCTAAGTTACTGCTACTCAAGCAGATTTTATTCTGACTTTGAAAATAATTGATCTGTTCCTGCCACCTGCCCTTTTCACTTATATCTTAGATGTATGAGTGAAGGGAAAAGATTAAACTAGAGCTTTTCTTTTAAAAGGCAATTTGTCGCTTAACATTTCTACAAAATTCTTGGCTCTAAATAAATGCACGTAATTTGAGGAAATACTGAAAGGTGAATTATAGTCTAGAAAATTGGGGAAATAGTTATTACAAAGTGATAGAGTCCAGTCAGGACGACATGGCTCAATGGTTGAGCATTGGTTGACCTATGAACCAAGAGGTCATGTTTTGATTCTGGATCCCCAATGTGTAGGAGTGGGAGGCAGCCAATCAATGATTCTCATCATGGATGTTCTATTTCTCTCCCCCCTCTCTCTTCCTCTCTGAAATCAATAAAAATACATTAAAAAAAAAATGTTAGAGCCCAGCACTAAACCATACCATGGGACAATTTTTTACACACACACACACACACACACACACACACACACACACACACACCTGTTTGCTTCTTGTGCTTGCTTGGGATTAAGTTGGGAATAAGCAAGAAATGGCTAAGAATTCAGGAAGATTTAGAGTGGCAAAAAGGACAGGAGCACCCATGAACTTCAAAGCATTGTGCTAGAAACTGAAGAAGAAAAAGGAAAGCAAGTAAGGGAGAAAAAGGAAATTAAAATTGAAAAGTAAGAAATAGACTGATTTCTGATGTTAATAGTTTGCTTCTGAAAATTAGCCATTTATGCCGAAACCGGTTTGGCTCAATGGATAGAGCGTCGGCTTGGGGACTGAAGGGTCCCAGGTTCGATTCCGGTCAAGGGCATGTACCTTGGTTGCGGGCATATCCCCAGTAGGGGGTGTGCAAGAGAAGAGGCAGCTGATCGATGACTCTCTCTCATCGATGTTTCTAACTCTCTATCTCTCTCCCTTCCTCTCTGTACCAAATCAATAAAATATATTTAAGAAAAAAAGAAAGAAAATTAGCCATTTATGGAAATGCCATTCATTTATTGTTTCTTATACCCAAAAGGTACATATTATTAGAGAAAGATGAAAAAACTTAAGGCAGAGAATAGTAAAAATCCACAGTCATCAAGGAACCAAAGAACATTTTTAAAAATTAATTAATTAATTAATTAATTTCTATATCTCGTTGACTTTTTTATAGAAAGGAAGGGAGGATAGAGAGTTAGAAACATTGATCAGCTGTCTCCTGCACACCCACCACTGGAAATGTTGCAGAATCCAACCAAGGTTGCAGAATCAAACCTGGGACCCTTGACCAGAATCAAACCTGGGACCCTTCAGTTTGCAGGCTGACACTCTATCCCCTGAGCCAAACCGGCTTCAGCTGATTTATTTTTTATAAAATCAGACATTCTGATCACAACACTAGAATTTGCGGTTAAAAACAATTTAAGCAATAGAGAAAATACATAATGAAGAGATTCTAGTGAAAATATCTATTCAGTGATAAACACTATTCCTACAGCTATTTTGTATATGGGTGATTTTACATGTGAATTTTAATGGATACATTATAACAGGATTATACCATATATTCTCTCTGTCTCTTTTTTTCTTTACTGATTTCAGAGGGAGAGAGAGAGAAACATTGATGTGAGAGAGATGGAACCTGTGACCTTTCTGGTGTATGAGAATGTGATCAATCAACTGAGCCACATACAATGTATACCCAGGTCATACATTCTTTTCTTCAAAACTTGTTTTCACTTAGCATCACATCTTCAACTTCTTTGCATGTTAGAATTTAGAAATACATTTATTTGAAAGAATCTAAGTATTGGTAATTACATTAAAAAATAGCAAGGTTCCCTATTTTCCCTAATTATATTAGCCAAGGTTGAGATGATTTCTTTCTCCAATATTCTCTACCAAAGCATTTCTGATATGAAGAAATGAGTGGAATTCAGGTAGCTAAAAAAGAGAAAGATTTAAGTTTTGGCTCTTCCTAACATCTCAGTGTGACTTAGTCATTCCCTTAAAACAAAGAACAAAAAGACAACTATTAACAAAATATTAAAACAAAACCATTACAGTTAACTTTGTTAACATGGTAACTTTGATATCTTTCCAGACATTTCATGCAAACACAGACATAAACAGAATTACAGCACTTCTCCCTATTCAAACATGGAATTATAGCATGCATTTTGTTCTACAACCTGCTTTTTCTTTTCTTTAAAGATATATTTTATTTTATTTTTTAAAAGAGGGACAGAGAGTTAGAAAAACATCATGAGAGAGAATCATGGACCAGCTGCCTCCTGCACAGCCCCTACCGGGCAAGCAAGGTACATGCCCTTAACTGGAATTGAACCTGGGACCCTTGAATCTGCAGACCGATGCTCTGAGTCTAGCCACTGAGCCAAACCAGTTCGGCTACAGCCTGCTTTTTCTACTACGAATATATCATAGCACAGCCCTGGCCAGGTAGCTCAGTTGGTAAGAGCATCATCCTGATATGCTAAAGTTGTGGCCTGGCACCTACAAGAATCAACCAATGAATGCATCAGTAATTGGAACAACAAATCAAATGTTCCACTGCCTTCATCTCACTCTCTAAAATCAATTAAAAATTTATGCCGAAGCCGGTTTGGCTCAGTGGTAGAGCATCGGTCTGCGGACTGAAAGGTCCCAGGTTCGATTCCGGTCAAGGGCATGTACATTGGTTGTGGGCACATCCCCTGTAGGGGGTGTGCAGGAGGCAGCTGGTCGATGTTTCTCTCTCATCGACATTTCTAGCTCTCTATCCCTCTCCCTTCCTCTCTGTAAAAAAATCAATAAAATATATTTTATAAAATCAATTAAAAATTTAAAAAATAATTTGTATAAAGAGTATATCATATTACAGATATAATACAACTTAAGCTGTTTCTTTTTTGCCACCAAAAATGTTTGTTTCTGCCACCGAAAATTATGTTGCTACTAACATTTTATCATTTTAAACAGACAGATGTTTTAAAATATAGAAAAACATTTCATAAATAATAGAAGTTGAAATTCGCCGATACCGGTTTGGCTCAGTGGATAGAGTGTCAGCCTGCGGACTGAAAGATCCCAGGTTCGATTCCGGTCAAGGGCATGTACCTTGGTTTTGAGCACATCTCCAATAGGGGGTGTGCAAGAGGCAGCTGTTAGATGATTCTCCCTCATCGGTGTTTCTAATTCTCTATCCCTCTCTCTTTCTCTCTGTAAAAAATCAATAAAATACGTATTTTTTATTAAAAAAAAGTTGAAATTCATACTTGAAATTGCACACTATTTTTGGATTGGCACTTTGTTCTTGCAGATTTCTTGGTTAAATGAGAGCTCATTAACTGGCTAATTTATTAAAGCACAATTCGGTCTATAAGTGTTTAAAAACTTAAACATTTATAGTTAATACCTAAGAAGGTTGATCATGCCGAAAGGTCCCGGGTTCGATCCCGGTCAAGGAAATGTACCTTGGTTGTGGGCACATCCCCAGTAGGGGTGTGCAGGAGGCAGCTGATTGATGTTTCTAACTGTCTATCCCTCTCCATTCCTCTCAGTAAAAAATCAATAAAATATACTATTTTTTTTTTTTTTAAAAAGGTTGCTCTCTGAGAATTAAGCTAAAAGATATTAGAGCCAAATTACTTACCATCTGGATAAGTAAGCCACCATAAAAACTGGAAGAGGCTGCCAAAATGAATTAGGAGAAATACAAAGCTTTTCAGTTTATCTCTTTTGGCCACAGATTTATCAATATAAACTAGTATAACAGGACACCAAGTGAACATAAAATTAATTATAAATTCACTTGCCATCCTCTCCCATCTTTTCACATCCTTTCTCTTCACAATATTGCTCTCCCGAATCTCCTCCCAAAAGGAGGTGGCTGTTTCTCCCACTGTCATATTTCAGCTACTTTATTATACAAGGTGGGGCCAAAGCAGATCGACAACTTTGACTATCTAAAACAGTTTATTCTTGGATTCTTACTTACTGTATTATTTTCCATACCAACCATTGTAAGTCTACTTTTGTCTCACCCTGTATTTTAGCTTTTAAAAATCACTTGGCCTTGCTTTTCAGCTCCTATCTCCGTTTCAGTTTGTACTTGAAGGAAACCAGCACACTGGATTGACTTGCCTCCAGGCGTCTTCTGACTTTCCTGGTTTGGATTCAAAGCTCAGCAGCGGAAAAGAATAAGTAGTTTGCTTAGTGAATTTCAGGCACCCAATTCTCCTGGTAAAGGACACGTTTAATTCTGTCCCGAATAATCGTGCTGTTCTTCAAAAGAGCTGGTGTCTGCGGGGAAGAGGTTGGCATCTGCAGGAAAAAGGGCGGTGACTGCAAACCCAGGGAAAAGGCAGACGACTGCCAGACGGAGGTGGGGAGGTGGGGGAGGGCCTGTCCCGCTCTAGGGGGCCCAGTGAGCTTAGCCTCCAGCCGGAGATAAAGGGAATTTGTTAAATAAAGAAGCCAGTGGGCGCAGACAAAAGCTTCAGGGGCAGGAAGTTGGTTGACTCAGGACAGCGAAATGTAGGCATTTGAATAGGGTTCCTCGGGGTGAGGTGGAAGTGAAAGCGGATTGAAAAGGAGCAGCAGCTGGTGGTCAGGGACTCCCGGTATCTGGGTGGTTGTTACCGACTCTGTGGTCCTAGAAGGATGTGCCCTTGAGAATTTTAAATGATCTTTTAAGTGACTTTAAAGATAGCATTGCCTCCCTGTACACTGCTACACCATCTATCGAACAAACAAAAATCTTTCTCACACACGCACGCACACACACACACACACACACACATCTCACAGATCAAACGTAAATGCGTGAAGCAGATTATTATTTTTTTAATAAAACACATCAGAATTTTATTGCTTGAAGAATAAGCATATGAAATGACAAGAATGTCCAAATGCAAAATCACTAGGCTTCAAACATATAATACATGATCAGATGCAGTAAAATATTAATTAACCTGAACTCTGCATCAGAAAAAAAAAGGTGTGAAAAAATATCTAAGTTGTTTACTTAAGAAACAAGTACTTAAAATAGTAAGTATAAGGATGCTACAGTACAAATTAGAAAAGCAACACTTATTAACTTACTGTGTCTCAGACCAGACTACCTTTGGTACGTAAACTTTAAAATAACACACAATCCCTTCTATGTTGTCCAAAGCACGTCATAGATACAATGTCAACTTCAACTTAAAACGTTCTGCAAAATTAACCTTTTTGAGGCATGGAGAAGTGTATTTAATAAATGTATAACAATATTTCATTTTCCTAAAAGTGCAAAATCTGATCCTTTAGAAATCTAATACTTGTAAACATTATTTAGCTCTCCAATTAAAATTGAAATCCAGACAGCCACAAATTATCCTTGGGCTTGGTGAATATAGAAATTTAAATAGTTTGACAACTGACAAAGGAATTTAGATTAGATTACCTCATACAATCTTAAGTGGCTTTTCCCATTGTTTTCAAAATACAAACAAGATGCCATTTCTTCAACACACTGGATTACTATATAAATCACTGCTATACTTTATGAGAACCAAATTAAAGCTTCCTCCCTTTGAATGAGCAAGTTGAAACTACTTTTTGTTTCATATAGGGCTAATTAGTTATGACATGCTTTTTAAAACAAAACAAACCCATTTAAAAATATATACAGTGTATATATTTTATTGATTTTTTACAGAGAGGAAGGTAGAGGGATAGAGAGCTAGAAACATAGATGAGAGAGAATCATCTATCAGCTGCCTCCTGCACACCCCCTACTGGGGATGTGCCCACAACCAAGGTACATGCCTTTGACCAGAATTGGACCTGGGACCCTTCAGTCCGCAGGCCTACGCTCTATCCACTGAGCCAACCCGGTTTCGGCACAAATCCATTTTTTAAATTAAATTAAATTTATTTATTTTTATTTTTTATTTATTTTTAGTTATTTCCCCCACCCCCACAAATCCATTTTTATTTATTTATTTATTTTTAATATATTTTATTGATTTTTTACAGAGAGGAAGAGAGAGGGAAAGAGAAACATCCATCAGTTGCCTCTTGCACACCCCCTACTGGGGATGTGCCTGCAACCAAGGTATATGCCCTTGACCGGAATCGAACCCGGCACCTTTCAGTCCGCAGGCCTACGCTCTATCAAACTGAGCCAAACCGGTTTCGGCAACAAATCCATTTTTAAAGCTATCACTCTAAGATGGAGATGATATCATTTCAAAAGGAAGCATTGGACACTGTAGGCCATCTAGTAAAAAAAACTTAAGAGTAATGTGAAAAACAAACAATAACTATAAGTTAAATTACAAAGAAAAGAAAAAAACCACCCTCTTTTACAGCAAGCATGCTCATTAACTTTCTTTCCCCCCAGGAAAGGTTTGAATATTCATTAACCTCAGTTAAACTAATAGAACCTAAGCAATTGTTTCACAAGTTCCAATAAAAATGGATGGAGTGAGCAAGTAATACTAATGACAATGAATGGAGTGAAATAGTAATAATCATGACAGTCCTCAAAACTGGGCAGTCTTTGAAATGTCATAGTTGTAGCTTAAGATGAATTAATGCCATAATAAACCATAGGTTTTACCTCTACATAAAACAAAAATAAAAAACATGACCCACCAAATTTGGAATATACCCTTCCTAGTTTTTGAATGTCTTATTTTGAAATTCTTTCAAATAAATATATTTATCTGAGTATATATATGTGTGTGCATGTCTATATCTATGTACGTAGATATACACACACAAACATTTATATATGTAGCATATACATATACTCATTTTTTTATATATATTTTTTATTGATTTTTACAGAGAGGAACGGAGAGAGACACAGAGCTAGAAACGTCAATGAGAGAGAAACATCCACCAGCTGCCTCCCGCACAGCCTCCAAAGGGGACATGCCCGCAACCAATGCACATGCCCCCAACCGGAATCAAACCCGGGACCCCCTAGTCCACAGACCGACGCTCCACCACTGAGCCAAACCGGCTTCGGCCATATACTCATTTTAAAAGACAAAAAAAAACACATACTACAGAAATGAATTAGTTCTTTTTAACCAATCTGGTCTAATGCCTACTGTATTACACAGCGCACGCCCCCCCCCCCAATAATTTAATATTCCCAATTTTTAGTTTAGTTAAAGGGAGAGGGGAAATGAAAATATACACATTTAGAGTTTCTGTCACACTGTTTATTGATCAATAAAGGACTCACTGCTACCTAAGAATTTCATAAACACCATTGAAAGCTCAAAATTGATATTATACCGAACCATACATTATCAATTGTTCAAAGAGACAGTTTTCACAGGAATAGCACACAACAGATGAAAACCAGTAGCAGACATCCCCAGGGTACCAGTGGCACATCCATCCAGATGCACACAAAGTTACAGATAAGCATTTCTTTCGCAGTTTCCTTGTGCAGAGGAAACAGAACCTCAGCTGGTGAATTTCAGATAGCATCATCATCATCATCGTCGTCTTCATCCTGAGAAGACCCTGCCTGGTTAGACGCACTGGCTGAGGCAGCCATGAGCTGTGCTTGCTGGGCAGCTTGCTGCATTTGAAGCCACTCCCGCTGGGCCAGTTCTGCTTGTTGCTGCCTAGCTTTTGAAAACAGTTCCTGCTGCTGCCTCAGTAACTCTTCTTCGGGAATGCCGAGGTTTTCCAAACGAGAACGGGCTTTCCTTCTTCTTTTTAACGATACCGTCTTGCAGTCTTGTAACACTTCTTTGACTTCGCTGATGTAAGAGCCAAAGCCCAAACTTTCTAGGGCTCGCATGACATGTTCTGGGGAGATGTTCTTCTTCGCCGATTCGTGGCAAATCTCATTGGCTTCCGAAGAGATGAGGTGAATGAATTCAGTGCAGCAGTTCACCACTAGCTCCCGGGCTTCGCTGGCCACCCGGACGTTGGGGAGCGTCTCTTTGATCATCTTGTTGACAGCAGCTCTGGGGAGAGTCAGGTCCTCGTCGTTGCCACAGGAGGAAGCCATCGTCTCTTCCTAGCTCTTTCACCTCAATTAAAAAAAAAAAAAAAAAATCCCCAGTCCTGGTCCACTCCTCCTCCAGGCAGGTTTTTCCAAAGGCCGCCCTCGGAGTGATCCAGGGGCGCTGAGGGAAGAGGGTGCAGACAGTGAAGGGGGACGGGCTGGCACCAGAGGAGGAGCTGCACCCGGTGTGAGACTCTGGGCGAGGTTGGGGAAAGTCAGGGAGCTGAGGGTTCTGGGCTCAGAGCTGCTGGGTGGGGTCGGGCAGGGAAAGAGAGGTGGTGAGGGGTCTCAGCACCAGGCACCACCTACGTGTATCCCCGGAGAGGAGGGCGCTGTCAGAACCCGGGAGTGCACCTGTGTGGGATCCCTTAACACAACCCGCTTGGTTCAGGGCCCACTCAGGGTCCGGTTTCTGGAGGAGGCCGCACACTAAAATGAAGAGACTGGAAAAAGAGAGTTAATTTGGAAAAATGGGGAGCCAGCCGGGAGTCAACCTCTACTGGGAAGACTACCACCAGGCTCTGGCCTGGCCATCCCTTTTATGGAGGCTGTGGGACACACCCATTCCCCTTAAGCAGCTTTGGGAGACACCCAAGGCCCTTAGGCAGGTAATAATGTGATTATCATATCAGTAAGGACTTACAGGATTACGAGATGGGGAAGTGGCCTCAGTTATTACCACTGTCTCCATTAGATAGGGAGTGGCTGGCTCTGACCTTTCAGAGCTTCAAGGTTGACCAGCCTTTTCCACCTTTCTGTTAGCGAGACAAGGATTGGTTTCGGGCACGCCTGCCAGCGACTAGGGGTAGAGTCAGACCCAAGGAAAAGGAAATGGCACTAGGGAGCCGCCATGGCCCTTCGGCCCGAACCCAGATCGTGGAAGCCACGAAACCTTGGCAACCATGGTCCCTTAAGAAGCCAGAGAAGGTTTTCGGGAAGCCTGTCCCCACACCCTTTTCTGCGTGAAGCAGATTAATTAAGCACAGGGCATGAAGCCTGGGGCCCGAGGTGGGTCATACGAATGCATAAGGTGCCAATGGGGTACAAAGGGTTCGAGGCTCTGATGACCCATCTCTCTGACATATGTGGGGTGACAAACACTGAGTGCAAGGTCTGAGGGCCAGAGCTTGAGGCTGGAGTAGGGCCAGTGTTCTGCAGAAGGAAGGTAAGCTGGACACAGCCACACAGGCTTGTACTATCAGAAACACCGAGGGCAAGTATTTTTGGCCACAGAAGGAGCTCTCCTTAGCTTGGTGAGGAGCAATGGAATTTGTTTTCACTAGTTGGTCAGAATCCTGTGAGCCTGGAATGGATGTCACCAATGGATGTCCAATGAAAGAGATATGGATTTTGAGCACTTCTATGAAGAAAAATCCTTGTTTAAATATCTGCTACAGCCGAAACCGGTTTGGCTCAGTGGATAGAGCATCGGTCTACAGACTGAAGGGTCCTGGGTTCAATTCCAGTCAAGGGCATGTACCTTGGTTGGGGGGACATCCCCAGTAGGGGGTGTGCAGGAGGCAGCTGATGGATGTCTCTCTCTCATCGACGTTTCTAGCTGACTATCCCTCTTCCTTCCTCTCTGTAGAAGATCAATAAAATATATTTTAAGAATAAAAATAAAAATAAATATCTGCTACAGCACTAGCCAGTTTGGCTCAGTGGTCGAGTGTCAGCCTATGAACCAGGAAGTCCACGGTTGAATTCCCAGTTCAGGCTCTATCCCCAGTGCGGGGAGTGCAGGAGGCAGCCAATCAATGATTCTGTCATCATTGATCTCTCTCTCTCTCCCTCTCTCTCTCTCTCTCTATCTCTCTCTTCCTTCCTCTCTGAAAATTATAAAAAATTTTTTTAAAGAAACTGCTTTATCTTCAATGCACTGCAATCTATTTTCTGTCCTTAACAAGCCATTGTAATCAAGCTAAAATTTTTAAATCACCTTAAAGTCATCCTTCATTAGTTCATTAAAAAACAAAACAAGCCAAAACTGGTTTGGTTCAGTGGATAGAGCATTGGCCTGGGACTGAAAGGTATCAGGTTCCATTTCAGTCAAGGGCATGTACATTGGTTGCGGGCACATCCCCGGTAGGGGGTGTGCAGGAGGCAGCTGGTCGATGTTTCTAACTATCTCTCTCCCTTCCTCTCTGTAAAAGATCAATAAAATATATTAAAAAAAAACCAAAAAAAACCCAAAAACTTGTTTTTCTCCATGTTGAGATGAGTAATATTTACTGCCTATCTTCTTAGAGATAACATAAAAGGTTCTATTTTTTTTGAAATATATGTTTTTTTATTTTAAGAAATTATTATTCATATTTATTTTACAGATAAGGAAACTGAGTTGCAGAATCAGGTTGGTATACTAGTAAATGCAGACACCAAGTGGGCAGACATATCTAGACTATAGGTGCTGCAAACTTTTATTTATTTATTTATTTTTTAAAATATATTTTATTGATTTTTCACAGAGAGGAAGGGAGAGAGATAGAGAGCCAGAAACGTCGATGAGAGAGAAACATCGACCAGCCGCCTCCTGCACACCCCCTACTGGGGATGCGTCTGCAACCAATGTACATGCCCTTGACTGGAATCGAACCTGGGACCCTTCAGTCTGTAGACCGATGCTCTATCCACTGAGCCAAACCAGTTTTGGCCAGTGCTGCAAACTTTTAAACTATAGATACATATTTGTGAACAGTCAGCCTAGACGTATGGAGATGCTAGTTAAAATTATACATTAAAAAAAGTGTGTATATATATATATTTTTTTTTTATTGATATATGATATGCTATAAGGGTTCCAATCTGGGTTATTGTGAATAATGCTGCTCTGAATATTTGTGAACAAGTTTTTTTGTGGACATATGTGTTTTTTTTCTTTTTAAAATATATTTTATTGATTTTTTACAGAGAGGAAGGGAGAGGGATAGAGAGTTAGAAACATCAATGAGAGAGAAACACTGATCAGCTGCCTCCTGCACACCCCCTACTGGGGATGTGCCCACAACCAAGGTCCATGCCCTTGACTAGAATCCAACCTGGGACCCTTCAGTCCGCAGGCCGACGCTCTATCCACTGAGCCAAACCGGTTTTGGCTCTATTTTTCTTGAATAAAAGGCTTAGGAGTGGAGTTGCTGGGTCACATGGTAACATTCTATAATAATAAAAGCATAATATGCTAATTAGATTGCAAGGACAACCTCATTGCCTGGGCTATGAGGGAAGCCCGGGTCCCAGGTGCCAGCAGCCCGGGGAAGGAAGGCTTACTCTTGCACAAATTTCGTGCATCAGGCCTCTAGTGTTATTTATAGACTCTTTTATTTTGTCTTGTTTTTTGTCCAAGACATATTCTTTTCAAAATATTCCTCATCCAATTTATTCAAATGACTCACAGATAAATAAATATAAATAGCTCCTAGCCATGTGGAAAAAACTCAATCTCCATTTAAAAAATGCAAACATAAAGGACAGGATCCCTTTCCCACTACAGCTTGATAAGGATTGAACGTTTGATAAAAACAAACAAACACATTTTGGTCTTTTGATAAAAGTGTGTCTAAACCGGCATCCTTGTAGCTTGTTGGCTACTTAACTTTTAACTTTATTGCAGTCCTTGAAGTGCCAGTTCCAGGTGAGAGAGATGGTGGGAGGGAGGGAGAGGGAAAGAAGGAGGAGGGGGGGAAGAGGGGAGGGAGGGAGGGAGAGATTGAGAGATTTGAAGAGAGAGACAGGGGGGAGAGAGAGAGAGGGGGAGAATTTGAATTTAATCTCTGAAACCTATCTTAACTCGGTGATTCAACCCTACCAATCAAGTCACAAAGCCTAGAGCAATTCAAGAAGGGAAAACTCACTTGGGAACAAAAAGGGCAGGAAAGACCTGCATTGGAAGGTTTGCTCCGTTCCAAAGGAGCCCTGGGTCAGAGGCAGAGATGGTTTTGGAGTCGCGGTCTGGAACAAAAACGGAGTGGCAGGTTCCTGGGAGTGAGGCTGCTAGGCTGGCGGGGACCAGCACCGCCCAGCCCGGCCCAGCCCGGCTCCCCGGTGCTGCGGTTCCGCCCGGACCCACGCCTCCGGCCACCGCGGGGCGGGGCGGGGCGGGCGGTCGCGCGCCTCGGGGTGCCCCGCGCTGTGCCCTCTGGCGGCCGCGGCCCAGGCTGGGACCGTGACCGCGCAGGCCCGGACCCGCGTGGCAGGACTCGTCTTTAGCGGCGCCCCTGCGGCCACGGTCCGCACCGAGGGCACAGGTTTGTTGTTAGATGCTTAGTTGGCAGGTTCTCCATGGTCCTTGGCGACAGGGGACGGTGCAAGGTCATCACGCAGCTCTGTGGCTCCAGTTTCTTTTTAAATATATTTTATTGGTTTCAGAGAGAGAAGGAGAGGACGAGAGAGATAGAAACATCAGTGATGAGAATCATTTTGCTGATCGGCTGCCCCCTACTGGGGATCGAGTGTGCAATCTGGATATGTGCCCTGTCTGGGAATCAAACCGTGATCTCTCGGTTCCTAGGTCAGCGCTCAACCACTGAGCCATTCCAGCTGGGCTCCAGTTTCTTTTTAAATATATTTTATTGAGTTCAGAGAGGAAAGGAAAGGAAGAGGGAGAAGCATCAATGATGAGAGACCATGGTTGTTTGGCTGCCTCCTGCCTCCTGCACGCCCCCTACTGGGGATCGTGCTGCAACCCAGGCCGGGAATCGAAACCCGGGACCCTTCAATCCACAGGCCAACACTCTATCCACTGGGCCAAACCAGCAAGGGTTAGCTTGATTTTTTTATAGTAAACATTCCATGTTTAAATCAATGTGTAATTCTGTTTTTCAAATAGGAGCCAGACTGATACACTTAATAAACATCAATTATATGTCAGGCAGTGTTCTAGGCATGAACAATGCAGATAAGGTACTTGCTTTTATGGAGCTTATATTCCACAGAGGTGGTGTTAACTAGGACCTAACTCACAAGATAGACAGCCATGCAAAATTTTTTAAAAATATATTTTTATT